AGCAGGGAGAGTGGGGGAGAGAAGGAGGAGGGGGCGAGGAAGACGACGCGAGGGAGCCAAACGGGCACATGGAGAGTGCGTGTCCATAGCAGGCAACCTTTTATGGCGTTTTGCAAAGTCTCCGCGGCCCAAGCAACATCTCACACGAGCCCCGGCCGTCGCAGGAACACGCACGGCCGGATCTCCCTGGTAAAGGGGGTAGGGCTATGCCATCTTGTCCACAAAAGGCAGTCTGTGCACCGCCAAGGGGGTGGGATGGCGTGCATGCTTTGCTGTGGCGGCGGTGTTGAAAAGGAAGCTGCCAGAACAGCCTGCACAACCCTCCCTTGTCCGCTCTCTCCCTTTCTGCTGAAGCTAACACAAAGCTTGCGAGAGACTGCAAGAGAACTGAACAAGGACAACAAATAATACGGCCACCGCGCTGCCCAGAGTCCTCTTTGCAAAGGCGGCTCGCCGTTTTCCAGGAAGTTCCCTTTGCAGTTCCAAAGACTAGAGCCCCTTATTTTAGAAAAAAACACAAAACACAAACAAACATGTAGCCGGGAACTCCTGATCGCTGGCACGTGCTATTGAAAGGGTTTTTTATGAGTCCGTAAAATGTCAGCAAGGACTTTGAGGGCTCCGTTCCGCGCACACATACACAGACGTGCTTCAGTGCCAGGGCTCAGCTCCGGAATTGTCCAAACAGGAGCAAGATGACACCTAGACATGTGCAAAGTGCCTCTCTCACTATTCAGTAATTAGAACCTCCTTTGCATGTAAGTTCTACCCGCCTGGGGTCAGCAGAAGGGGAGGGGGGGTGCCTGGATCAAAACACTTAAATTCCAGGCATGCTTGAACTGCATTAACTTTTAGATTGATCCCTGAAGATTCATTATTTGCCATTATATTCCACATTTCTTTCTCCAAGGAGCTCAAAGTGCTCCTTGTACACGAATCTCCCCCTCCTCAAGTAATCCCCACTGCAACCTTGCGAGGTAGACCGGTCTGAGAAAAGACTGGCCCAGGTTCTAGTCTGATACCCAAACTGCTACACGGCACTGACTAACCGCTTTCAAATTTATTCACGCATGGTAGAAGTGGCCACAGGAAGGGGTGAGGGCAGTTCATGGTTTCTTCTTGGCGCACAAATGCGTTCCCCGCTATTTCCAGCTGCAACAGTTCGCAGGGTGCTGATATCCACCAGGAACCGACCCGATTTCCAGAACTAAACCCTAAAAAGGCACGTCACCCTGAATAAGACTGGTATTAAAACCTGCTTCTATTTAAAGAAGAAGAGGAACACAGCATCCTATTCCCAGCTTCTGTACACTTCAAAGGAAAGAAAGGCGAAAATCCCATTACTGTACGTTATTCACAGCTGTTCAAGGGCTGCCGGCCGGCACTCAAACAACAAAAAGATCTGAGCAAAGGGAGCTGGAATATCTTGGTTTCTCCCCAGCAGGCGAACTGTAGGCAGGATTACGGTGTGGGCTTTTTGTGTGTTCGGCTGCGAGCTCAGCGCCTTGCATTCCCTGTCCTCTCGAATGCTTCTATTTCTATATTTATTTATTTTTGCGGGCAGCTTCTCTGCCGCTCCTGCTGAAACGCAACTCTAAGCAGTTGGCAATGGGGTTAAAGTGCCTTACATGAAACACCAAATGTGGGGTGGGAAACAAGCAGGGGATTTGCCCGTTCTCTAAAAATGCGACTAGCAACCCAACCAAGAGCCAATAAGCATGAGATGCAAGCATCCGCTGCGTGAAAAACCTGGGAAATTCAAAGTGAAGAACTGCACTGCGGGGGCGGGTTGGACTAGATGACCCTGAGAGGTCCCTTTCGACTCCCAACTCCAAATCTGTGATTCTGAGAGATCGTGCCTCCAGGACTAATCTTTGGCCACAGTGGGGCTGATGAGAATCAAGGGACACAATGAGCAGGCCCCACGATGAGCAGGCCTTCCCAGCCAAGGGGAAAAGCAACCTTCGATGGGCGTGAGTATGGGGAGCCACAAAAATCAAAGGCAAAAATCCAGCCTTCCACACCTCACTCTGGTAATGCTGGTGGTCAACAAAAGAGGTTTAGAGACTATCTCAAGGCAAATCTTAAAAAAATGTAGTATAAACACTGACAACTGGGAAACACTGGCCTGCGAGCGCTCCAGTTGGAGAACAGCCTTTACCAAAGGTGTCGTGGGCTTTGAAGACACTCGAACTCAGGACGCAAGGGAGAAACGTGCTAAGAAGAAGGCATGCTTGGCAAATCCACACCGTGATCAACTCCCGCCCGAGAACCCATGTCCCCACTGTGGAAGGACGTGTGGGTCCAGAATTGGCTTCCACAGTCACTTACGGACTCCTTGTTATAACCGTGTTTATGGAAGACAATCTCATCGGCTATGAGGGATCGCCAAAGAAGAAGTGCCATTACACAATAGATTAAATGGTTTTTCAAAAATTTTTATGTTTTAAAAGGGACCCCTGTACAGATGGCACCCAGGGGGAAGTAAAGGAGATTCCCATCACAGAATCTGTACAGCTGGAAGGGACTCAAACGGTCATCTAGTCCAACCCCTTGCAATGGAACTAAACGCCTTTCTGGGTGCAGTTTGTTGATGTATCTTTTATCAATACACTTCTCAACCCCACCAGCACTACCAACGAGAGGAAGAAATGAACCGCAAGCAACCAGCCAGGAAATGCTTGTCAACCGCAAACGAATTCTTTTCCTTTCGGGGTCTTCAACATGCTATTTCATTTATTACTGGGTTTCTTTTATATTACTCATTCAATTGGCATTCCTCCCGAAAGAGCCTGGGGCAGTATTCTTAAATTTATATCCTGCCTTTCGTCCAAGGAATTTAAACTGGCTTACATAGCTCTCATTTTATCCTCAAAACTACCTTGTGAGGTAGGCTAGGCTGAGAGGACTCAGCTACAATAGTAAAAAAAACAGTGTTCTAAATGCATTATAAACATGCAACACCAGATGGTGCTGTAGAGCACAAAACTTTTCTATGAGATTTTACATAGGGTTTTTTTCCCCTTTTGTTGTAACAATTTAATTTATGACTTATTTATAGCTGGGTTTTTTTTCCCTGTGTGTAGATCTATCCAGAGAGAGACACTAGCCAATATTTCCCAACAAGCTTCTTGGGCCAAGTTGAGATGTGAACCCTTGACTCCCAAATCCTACTCCAACTCTTTTTAACTTACGCTAGCAGGGGTAGGGGCTAGCCTGTTTTCACAGAATAACAGAGTTGGAAGGGACCCTGAGGGCCATCTAGTCCAACCCCCTGCAATGCAGGAATTTGCGGCTGTCCCAATGGGGGATCGAAACTGCAACCTTCGGATTACCAGCTCTAACCAGCTGAGCTATCCTGTTGGACCTGATTCACAAGGTTTTGAGGTCCTGGACGGCAGGACGACCATCAGCCTAGGGTGGGAAGTGAGGGGACAGGCATGGGTTACTAGTACAGTGGTGCCCCGCAAGACGAATGCCTCGCAAGACGGAAAACCCGCTAGACGAAAGGGTTTTCCGTTTTTGAGCTGCTTCGCAAGACAAATTTCCCTATGGGCTTGCTTTGCAAGATGAAAACGTCTTGCGAGTGTTCCGATTTTTTTCCGCTCCCCCCCTTTTTCTAAGCCGCTAAGCCGCTAATAGCCTTTTAGCTGCTAAGCCGCTAAGCCTTTAATAGCCGCTAATCCGCTAAACCGCTAATAGCGCTAATCCGCTAATCGGGTTGCTTCGCAAGACGAAAAAACCGCTAGACGAAGAGACTCGCGGAACGGATTATTTTCGTCTTGCGAGGCACCACTGTATCAATAACAGCTCTATACAGAGGCCACTCCTTGCAGGAGGTTCTTAAAAGTATGAGCTGTGGCTCTACTCACTGGCAAACCCAAGGGAGCAAAGATGAGATCATCACAAAGGAGGAGGGAAGCTGTAGGGACAAGAGGGAAACCAAGGCACAGGGGAAAGATCCGTTTGGGGGAGGCGGGGAAAGGAAACAGCACAGAGTGTGAAAGAGCTAACCAGGTTTCTAAATCGGGCAGGGCGGCGAGAGAACAAATCAAGTTTTGATGGACATGGGTGGGTGTGTCACTGCCGAGAATATAGGAGACACTGGTTTTGCAGCCTAATCTGCAAATTGTGATTCCAGGGCCTCGGTTTCCCCCATTTTGCAAAACCGGAACAGTAAGGTGGAATGACTTTATGGGGTTTAACAAACCGATTGAGGAACGGAGGTCTATCGATGGCTATTGACCATAATAGCTAAGTGGAACATCCAGGAACAGAGGCAGTCTATCACTCTAGCTGGAGACAAGCAACAGGGGAAAAGCCTACCTTATAAGACCATAGCTAAGGACCGACAAGGCAACTATAGGAGAACATTCAGGAAGCGCAATGTAAAATAGTCACTGGGAGAGAGAGAAAGGGGCCTCAGATTCCAGTATTAAAGGGCAGCTTGTGGGATCTGGGCACAGGTAAAGAAAGATGAGCTAATATGTCCCCCAAAAAAGCCACAAGCCCGTTTTTACTAGCTCTAAGGAGGTTGGCTGTGGCACAACAACAGAAAAAGGAGACTATCTCCCTCTTTTTTTCTTTTACTTTGGAAAGGCTTCACTGCCTGGCTCAGTGGCATAGTGTGGGGGGTGGAGGGGGGGCCGGCCGCACCGGGCGCGACATCTGGGGGTTAGGGGGCGCAAATCCACGGGTTAGGGGGTGAAAATTACAGTATTTTTTGCACCATAACACTCACTTTTTTCCTCCTAAAAAGTAAGGGGAAATGTCTGTGCGTGTTATGGAGGGAATGCCTACGGGTGGCATGCCTACGGATTTTCCTCCTCTGAAAACTACATGCGTGTTATGGTCGGTTGCTTGTTATAGAGCAAAAAATACGGTACTTGCCTTGCCCCGGGTGCTGACAACCCACGCTACGCCACTGGTCTGGCTACCGGGCCAGTGGCTATTTGCAAGCCTGGATAGGAAGGGTTCTAGCAAGGATCTGGCAGACTCACCCCACTGTAAAAACTCCATGATGTACTTCTCCTGGGCGAGGGGCGACGTGCTCAGCTCGTGGTGCACACAGAGCAGAAGGTCTACCAAGGTCTCCAGACCCACAGCGCTCCGGTCCAGGACCAGCTCCTCCAGTTTCTTCAGTCGCACCTCGGCAGCCATGGCAGGGGCGGGAGGCACCCCAGCGGCTGCCGTGCCTCCAGCCACATCCAGGGACGGCTGGCAGGAGCCGCCCTGGCTTGGGTCCTCTATGCCAGGCGGGCACCCCCCTGCCCCATGGGGGGCACAGTCTTCTCCTTCCTGGGCGATCAACCCGGCTTCTAGAAGTCCACAGGGTGGTCCAGAATGGAGAGCGCAGCTTTCTGGCAGCTGCTGGAGATGCGCGTGACTCTTTCTCTCTGTCTCACACTCAGCCTTCTCCCCGCACAAACTTTCCCAGACTTTCTCCTCTCTCAGGCTGTCCGAACTGCCAGTCTTTCTCGCCGGGCACACACGGACTTGTGCGCTCTCGTCCTTCGCGCACGCCACTGTCCCCGTCCTTTATGCTGCCTTGCGCACCGTTGTTCCTCCTTTTCTGTGGTCCGAAAACACACCCACGCTCCTCCCCTGCCCCCACTCTCTCTCTCACATGGACAAACACCCCTCGCCCCCTCCCTCTCACTAGCAGCTCTCCCCTTGAATCACACAAGCACACCCAACCTTTCCCCCCTAGCGTCCAGGCCCCACAAACGCGCGAGACCCGGGTCTCCCTTCTCCCTTCGCTTTTGCGCCCTGCAAAAAGAAACCTTGCGCAAATTTTGGCAGTGGCTCTCCTGAGCCAACTTGCAAAGTCCTGTCTCCCCCTCCGCCTCCCCTGGCTCAGTTTACCCCAGAAAAAGCCCCCTACCCCCGTCTCCTGACCACACCCTGCCCTTCCTGCCCAGCCCAGCCCAGCCCGGGATGCCTCTGTGCCAGGGACTTGCAGCAGCAGCCGCAGGCACAAACAACCCCATGCCCATTTAAAGGCCCCAGGAATGGAGTTCGAGGCCAAGAGGCTGGACTCCTCTTTAACCCCTTCTCAGCTCTCTCTCTCTCCTACTTTCTCTCTCTCTCTCTCCCTTTCCCCAGCCACAGAGCTCCACTACAGTCTCCCTAGAACCCAGGCTCCATTATAACCTGACAGCTGATGGTGGGGCACAGGGAAGATGGAGCCAGCGTCAGGCAAGCAGAATTACACAGCTTGGCCCTTGATCAGAACCTCTCTACTCCACCTGATTCCCCACCCTGGACCCTGAAAGGGCAAGGAAAGCTCCGTTTTTTGTGACAGGCACCCCCAGTTCTTTTGACTGTTCCCTCCCCACAAACTGGGAACAGAACTTTCTTCCAAACCAAGCAGGCTCAGAACTGGGCATTCCTGTTAAAACGACTTCCGGTGCCTGGAGCACTCGTTCTGATTTGTTTCACCTAAATTTGTGGGGAGATTATTCTTAAATTTAGATACTGCCCTTCTTCAAAAGAGCACAGGCGGTTTACAGCATTAAATTTAACGAACATATCAGATACAAAACATAGCTCCCAAATGCCCCCATAGCTCCCAAATGCCGCAAGTTCTGACGACACTACAATTGTGATAAACATCTAGGGCAGGGGTACCCAACACTCTCACCACTGAGCATGCTGGCTGGGAATGATGGGAACTGGAGTCCTTCAGATGACCCCACATCAGCTACCCATAGGGCTTCCCCAGCCACTCTGGGCGGCTTTCAACAAAATATTAAAATACAGTAATGCATCAAACATTAAAAGCTTCCCTAAACGGGGCTGCCTTCAGATGTCTTCTAAAAGTCTGGTAGTTGTTGTTCTCTTTGACATCTGGTGGGAGGGCGTTCCACAGGGCAGGCGCCACCACCAAGAAGTCCCTCTGCCTGGTTCCCTGTAACTTGGTTTCTCGTAGCGAGGGAACCGCCAGAAGGCCCTTGGCGCTGGACCTCAGTGTCCGGGCAGAAAGATGGGGGTGGAGACGCTCCTTCAGGTATACTGGGCATTTGAGGCCGTTTAGGGCTTTAAAGGTCAGCACCAACACTTTGTATTGTGCTTGGAAACGTACTGGGAGCCAATGTAGGTCTTTCAAGACCGGTGTTATGTGGTCTCGGCGGCCGCTCCCAGTCACCAGTCTAGCTGCCGCATTCTGGATTAGTTGTAGTTTCCGGGACACCTTCAAAGGTAGCCCCATATAGAGCACATTGCAGTAGTCCAAGCGGGAGATAACCAGAGCATGCACCACTCTGGCAAGACAGTCTGCGGGCAGGGAGGGTCTTAGCCTGCGTACCAGATGGAGCTGGTAAACAGCTGCCCTGGATACAGATTTGACCTGTGCCTCCATGGGCAGCTCTGAGTCCAAAATGACTCCCAGGCTGCACACCTGGTCCTTCAGGGGCACAGTTATCCCATTCAGGACCAGGGAATCCTCCACACCTGCTCGCCTCCTGTCCCCCAAAAACAGTACTTCTGTCTTGTCAGGATTCAACCTCTATCTGTTAGATAGGGTCTCAGCCTGCATATAGTAAACTTAGCCATATAGCACTTGCCATTGGCACCATGGTCTTATCTGCCTGGCAGCCTCTGCCAGTTTTGTAAGGAGAAATATACGAAGTGTTACAAAGTAGGAAAAGATAGAGATATTGGTTACGAGTTTGAAATGTAATAGGGGAAATAAGAAATGCATACCAAGAGATTAGATTGGGAAATTTTCAGACAGGACAGATGGAAGTCAAAAAAATTGAGTAATATGTAAAAGTATGTTTAATTACTGTTGAAAATTATGTTAAAAAACAAATAATATAAATATATATAGTAGGAGCGGTATGCTGGGATCGGGGCCACAGGCTCTGCTGCCGAAGCGCCCCCCCCCCCCCCGTTCCACTGGCCAGTCTCCACCGAGCTAAGTTTAGAACAACAGAGACATTCCTGGAGCCTAAATCGAGGGACGGAGCAAGCCGGACTTTTGGCTGCATGAAGGCAGCTGGCGCCCTCCCTTTCGGGATGATATTGGGCCAGGCCCACAGAGACTCGCTCCAACCCAGTCCTTTGCAAACCCTCTTTCTCCCGAGGGGTCCCCTTTCCAAAAAACTTTGCATGCCTTGGAGGGAGTTGGGAGAGGAGAGCCTGCAAAGGACCAGTGGCAGACTAACTGGAGATGTTGGGAATCAAACCAGGGTCCGTCTGCAACCCTTCCCCTAAAGGCCATCTTACAGAGGATTTGTAGTTCTAGAACAGCGGTCAGCAAACTTTTTCAGCAGGGGGCCGGTCCACTGTTCCTCAGACCTTGTGGGGAGCCGGACTATATTGGGGGTGGGGAAATGAACAAATTCCTGTGCCCCACAAATAAAAGCACACATTCTACTCATGTAAAAACACCAGGCAGGCCCCACAAATAACCCAGGGATGCATTTTAAATAAAAGGACACATTCTACTCATGTAAAAACATGATGATTCCCGGACCATCCGTGGGCTGGATTTAATAATAATAATAATAATAATTTTTTTTTATTTATATCCCGCCCTCCCCAGCCGAAGCCGGGCTCAGGGCGGCTAACAACAATAAAATAAGACAACATTTTAAAATCATTTCATTAAAAAATTACTTCAAATCAAATTGATGGCAACCATTGGGTAGAGTTCTGTGAAGATTGCCAAAGGAGGGAGTCAGGCTGTGCCCTGGCCAAAGGCTTGGCGGAACAGCTCTGTCTTGCAGGCCCTGCAGAAAGATATCAAGTCCCGCAGGGTCCTAGTCTTTTGTGGCAGAGCGTTCTACCAGATCGGAGCCACAGCCGAAAAAGCCCTGTCTCTGGTTGAGGCCAGCCTAACCTCTCTGTGGCCTGGGACCTCCAAGATGTTTTTGTTTGAAGATCGTAAGTTCCTCTGTGGGACATACCAGGAGAGGCGGTCCCGTAGAAGGTGATTGGGCCGGATCCGGCCCCCAGGTCTTAGTTTGCCTATCCATGTTCTAGAAGAAAGGAAGGTGCTCTTGTCAGAAGCAAAGACAAGGGGCAGCAATCCCTTCCCAGCAGTGGCCAGGCTTTCGGGAGGCAGCAGTAGGGATGAGGAAGAGCGGGGTTAGAATCGTAGAATTGGAAGGGACCACGAGGGTCATCTAGTCCAACCCCCTTCAATGCACCCCCTTTCTCCCAATGTGGGGCTCAAACCCACAATCTCAAGATTTAAGTCTCATGCTCTACCAAATGAGCTATTCCAGCTGGCTTACTTTTGTGTCAGGTGGGGAGGTGTGCATCAGAGTCCACATCAGGGCCAGATTTAGGTTTGATGAGGCCCTCAGCTACTGAAGGTAATGGGGCCCTTTACATGTCCAGCTGTCCTTTGTCCACAACAAATTGGCACTGTTTTTGTGTGTTGAATATATGTTGTTTAGTCGTTTAGTCGTGTCCGACTCTTCGTGACCCTAGACCAGAGCATGCCAGGCACTCCTGTCTTCCACTGCCTCCTGCAGTTTGGTCAAACTCATGCTGGTAGCTTCTAGGACACTGTCCAGCCATCTCGTCCTCTGTCGTCCCCTTCTCCTTGTGCCCTCCATCTTTCCCAACATCAGGGTCTTTTCCAGGGAGTCTTCTCTTCTCATGAGGTGGCCAAAGTACTGGAGCCTCAGCTTCAGGATCTGTCCTTGGAGAGCCAGTGTAGTGTAGTGGTTAAGAGTGGTAGTCACGTAATCTGGGTAACCGGGTTCGCGTCTCTGCTCCTCCACATGCAGCTGCTGGGTGACCTTGGGCCAGTCACACTTCTTTGAAGTCTCTCAGCCCCACTCACCTCACAGAGTGTTTGTTGTGGGGGAGGAAGGGAAAGGAGATTGTTAGCCGCTTTGAGACTCCTGTAGAGGAGTGAAAGTTGTTGTTGTTGTTGTTTAGTCGTTTCCGACTCTTCGTGACCCCATGGACCAGAGCACGCCAGGCACCTCTGTCCTCCACTACTTCCCGCAGTTTGGTCAGACTCATGCTGGTAACCTCGAAAACACTATCCAACCATCTCGTCCTCTGTCGCCCCCTTCTCCTTGTGCCCTCCATCTTTCCCAGCATCAGTGTCTTCTCCAGGGAGTCTTCTCTTCTCATGAGGTGGCCAAAGTACTGGAGCCTCAACTTCACGATCTGTCCTTCCAGTGAGCACTCAGGGCTGATTTCCTTCAGAATGGATGCGTTTGATCTTCTTGCAGTCCATGGGACTCTCAAGAGTCTTCTCCAGCACCATAATTCAAAAGCATCAATTCTTTGGCGATCAGCCTTCTTTATGGTCCAGCTCTCACTTCCATACATCACTTCCATACATACACTTCCCCTTCATGGATCACTGCCTTGCCGTGGCGAAGGGGCTTGAAGAACTCAGAGAAGCTATGAACTACACCGAGCAGGGCACACAAGATGAACAGGTCATAGTGGAGAGTTTCGACCAAACGTGATCTACCTGGAGGAGGAACCGGCAAGCCACTCCTTGCCAAGAAAACTCCATGGACAAAGGAGTGAAAGGCGGGATATCAAATCCAAACTCTTCTTCCTTCCAGTGAGCACTCAGGGCTGATTTCCTTCAGAATGGATAGGTTTGATCTTCTTGCAGTCCATGGGACTCTCAAGAGTCTCCTCTGGCACCATAATTCAAAAGCATCAATTCTTCGGCGATCAGCCTTCTTTATGGTCCAGCTCTCACTTCCATACATCACTACTGGGAAAAACATAGCTTTTACTATACGGACCTTTGTTGGCAAGGTGATGTCTCTGCAACACAAAATACTGTTGCTGTATGTCAGTTTTATTTTATTTGTTTTTTATCTTATGTTTTGGAAATGTACATCCTGGGGTTTTTTCCCTTTAGATATTTTTTGGGGGCCCCCAACAGAGCAGGGCCCTAAGCTATAGCTTGATCAGCTTATACGTAAATCCAGCACTGGTCCACATGGAGTTGACATGTGCGAGGCAAGAT